GCAGGAATAAAGAGGGGGCCAGCTCCGTCTGCCCTCTTACCAAACCTGGTTTTCTATCTGCAGCTGCATCTGGGAGCTACCACTTCCAGATGGAAAGTGGAACCCACACTGTAGCAAGCCCTTGGCCCCTCTTTTCCCAGCCCCCTGCCCACTTTACCACCAAGGTTTCCCATTGCCTTGAACCTGGAGCCCTATTCTCTGGCTTTCCTCAGGAGCAAGTGAGAGAGGGTCTACAGGGAGGTCTTCAGGGAGGGTTTATAAAGCTTTTGAAATTAGCCAAAATGTCCACAAACTTAGAAGAAACATTTAGCTATAATGTAGTTACCTAACTAATAACTTTTCTCACTTTACAGAACAATGAGCCTATTTGGAGATGTTTTCTTGATGCCTGAATAATCCATCTTTCCTTCCCCTCCTGCAGTCCTCATCTTCCTTCACTGTGATTCCCACTAGGCTTCTAACTGGTGTGGCTGCCTCTAGACTTTCCCCACTTCAGTCTGTGTACAGGTTGGTCCCCATATAATGCTTCTTATAGCTCACTTGATTTTACTCTTATTTTTATTTTTATTTATTTATTTTATTTTATTTTATTTATTTATTTATTTATTTTTATTTTTTGAGACAGAGCCTCAAGCTGTCACCCTGGATGGAGTGCCATAGCATCACAGCTCATAGCAACCTCCAACTCCTAGGCTTAAGTGATTCTCTTGCTTCAGCCTCCCAACTAGCTAGGACTACAGGTGCCCACCACAACGCCCAGCTATTTTTGTTGTTGTTGTTATTGTTGTTGTTGTCATTGTTGTTTGGCAGGCCGGGGCTGGATTCAAACCCACCAGCTCTGGTGTATGTGGCTGGCGCCTTAGCTACTTGAGCTACAAGCAGCTGTAGCTCAAGCAGCTGAGGCGCCAAGCCCCTCCCTTAAAGATTTTTAACACCATCCAGTATTGCAAGATAATGCTGCCATTAACCCGAAGCATGGCAGGAAAGGCTGTGTACAGCTCCTTCTCCAGCCTTATACTCTTTCCCTCTCATACCTGTTGCCTTTGCAGAATTTCAGCCTTATGAACTTGAGCCTATGCCTCCCATGACTCCTTGACTCAGTTACTCTTGTCTGCATATTATTATACCAGAGGCTGGATACTCTTCTGGGCCTGAGTGTTCTTGAAGGTCTCGTTTATCTTTGTATCATCACTGCTGGGCAGACTGCCTGGTACTGTGTGTTGAGTAAACAAAAAAGGGTAGCTAAGTTAGTTTGCACAGAGCTTTCTTCAATCAAACTATTACTCCCAGTATGTTTTACTGGCCCCAACAGGTTACCTGTATGTTTGAGGCCACATTTGGCGAATCACATATTCCTGTAGATTGGCAATATGAGGATGTGCGTGCAGAAGGATACCAAAGGTCTATATGGAATTCCTTCTCAAGTTGGTTAGATGAAGTAAATTCAATTAGACAAACACACAAATCCCAACAAACCACTTTCATATAAATATGTTTTATTGCAGAGAAGTTATTATTATTTACATGCTGCAACACGTCACAACATAAATTTACCAAATATTTCATGGTGGGATGCTGTAGGTTTAGATAATAGTTTCAGAAGAACCACAGATTAAGTGAAGAGACTTACAGTTTTATTGACTCTACAACTCTCAGTTGCTAAATGCTAGAAGTCAAAAGGCAGTGTTTTTTTCAGTCCTACCTGTCATCACTTGCATGCAGAAACCTAGGAAGCAAATACGAGAGAACTGTCGAGTTTCGAATCTATTGCCACCAAAGTTTACAATAGGTTGAGTTATACTTCATGTCATAAAGCATTTAATTCTTGCATAAAATATACAGGTCTATTAAGGTTGGTATAAATCTACTTATTTATAAACCCTGGCTTAAAAACAAGGACAGGATGCAGCCTGCACATGCACTGAGAAGGACAACCTAGAAACATCTGTGACCTTAATGGTATTTATTCACTTTCTTATTGTCACCAGTGTGGGAAAATACCCTCCAGAACTGTAGATTGAAACTTCTTTTGGTGATAAATAATGGCAATGAAACTCTAGGAAAGACCCTCGGTACCCTCACTGAGACGTGCTGGTGGAGAATAATCTAGGGACTGTACAATGTGTACTAAGGTGTTTGGCAAGTCTTTTTTAAGCCACATCTCTAGCAGGATCATCCTGAAGTGCAATAAAAAGTCACTGATGCTTGACCGCTTATTTCTCAAGAAACGAATCAAGTTCTAACAGCCCTCAGACATAAACGAAGCAAGTAGGTGGGGCTGGAAATCCCAAACCAAATTCACAAAGATACCTCAAGGTAGGGCACCAAGCCTACAGGCCTTCATGAGAAAGGAAGGAATGTATGAAATGAATGAAGGCAACACACAAAAATAGAACTTCTACATCTTTTCAAACCTACCCCACCAACCTGAGTAAGACGCGTAGCAAGCAAACGGGTGAGGAAGATTTGTGCACAGTTTTGCAAAACAGTGAAGTGCTCACTTACTCCTGAATAAAAACCACTGAGAAGATTCTGATGATGGATATGAAGAATTCATATTTCCCTTCCACTGAGGATAATTTTCTCAAAGAACAGCCCTGTGTCCACCTTTGATTCCCTTTCCCCATCTTTTATCCTCCTAGCATGTTTTCCTTGCCGCTCACAAAATTAAAAAAAGGTTATTTAGGCTGGAAGTGCCCTGGCCACATAGGCAGCTGATACTTCAGTGCTTAGAGTGAGAGGATGGGAAATCTCAGTTCTATTTTTAAGTGATTTGTCTTTAAATAAAGTGAGACAGCTTGGGAATCTCATGGCATGATCACTTCGGCAGGGCCAAGTCAGCAGCTTAGGATTTTCATGCTAAGAGATTGGTGTGGAATGCAGTAAGTTTTATAAAATATGCTTTGGGGGCTGTTTTTGCCTTGCAAATAAACCTTACACTTTGCATTTTGAGCTAGTGGCTCGCAATGGCAATTTGCAAGACTTGTTAAGTATTCCAGTGCTTGGGTGAATGAAGAGCCCCATACCACCTTATAGGCTTTGAATATATCAGGTTATAAAACCTCTTTGGGATTTGAGCCCAGCAGGTTCTACCCCTAGCTGAAGCAATGAATAAGAGTTTATGAGAATAAATAGTTTAAGGTAATTTAAAATATTGTATTTTCAGTCTGCATAATAAAAATATATCCATACAATGATCTTGACACTATCATAATTTTTTCTCCTTAAAAAAATAATCCCTTGAAAGTGCTATTAAGAGCTACTTTTCTGTCTTTGTTTTGAAAGGCAAACTTTCTGGTTCCATAGTACTGTTGTAATTGTCATCTAATTCCTAGGGTCTTCCCTTTCCAACAGTAATAAGAATGCACAGTATAGATTTCTCCCTCTTAGCTTCTTCCTTAGTAAATGTTGTTTAGTATGAAATACTGAAAGAGTTAAAAGGGACAGTTAACTGGGATGAAGGCATTATCTATTTCTGACTTTGAATAAACAATGGATAAGTTGTCCTTGACTTATCAAGACATCTGACTCAGTAGGACCACTTGATCTCCAATATTAATAAAGCTTCTGAGTCCTAACAAGAAGTGCAAACTAAGTAACTCAACTTGTATAAAAAACCCTGATTAAGACAGTATAACAAACCATGATGTGAAATAACACAGTCAAATTCAAATTCACAATATATAAACTACAGCCCAAATTAAAAGTTTTTATCATAACAGTTATGGCTTCCCAAGCCAGAGAAAGCTTACTATACTTTGAGAATCAACTAAAGTTGATTGATAGCAGGTATTTTGTAAGTTGCAATAACAATTGAATAGCTGCACATTGCATAAATGTTGTGTCACATAATACCAAAGTTATTTGCAAAAATTATACAATCTGGAATGCTTGAATATGAGACACAACAATGTACTGAAACATACATTTATAAGAAAATGAGAGCAATCATTAATATAAAAAGTATTTTTGGGATGCATTAAGTTAGCAGTGCTATCAAGGTTAAATAGGTAATGTAAGTTCTTTCCAGTCAGTTACTTAGAATTTCAGTTATATATGTCTATACCTTTTTCTTCTTTGCAAAATCTGATATGTCTTCTTTATTTCCTGGTTTGCTTTGCTTAGGATTGTCAAAGTCCCATGGGTGAATATTGATCTGGGGCAGACATTTGGGGCTATTTCCCTTAAACATGCTGAAATGTAAAGATTTTCCTAGTGTCACCGGGAGAATAATTTTTCTTGGCCAAAGTCTGACTTCTTCATTATGATGCTGTTGCTCCCACCCTCTGGTCATCTTCTGCCCATGCCTTTGACCTTACCTCACTGTCTGTCATCTTCCCCTTGACTGGAAATTTTTTATTCTTATACCTTCTGTCTTATATCCAATCTGGGGTTTCCTCTTCCTCCTTTTCTCCATAGGGATGCTACACTTTGAAAGTATCCCAGGCCTCTTCTCTCCGAGGCCCTGCTATCTTATTTGCATTTAAAGCAGAAGAGGCAGGTAAAGCTATACTTCTTTCAGCATTTGGTTTATCTGGGGTCTCAAACTCCCAAGGACACACCTCTGCTCGCGATGTTAATGGTTGCGGGAAGTTATTACTTGAGTTAAAGGAGCCAGGCACATTTTCCTCAGAGGAAGATGTCTTTTTCTCCTGGTCTCCTATTCGGTTGAGATTTTCGTTCTCTATTTTTGATGCTATAGCTTTGGGGGGCAGTTCCTCATACTGCCCAGCACACACACTGGCCATGTGGTGCTGACCTCCATTCTCGTCTTTCGCTCTCCCTGGGAGAACCGGAGTGTTGGAAATCAAATGCTTCTCATCTTCCAAAAGGGACTGACCCTGGGTCTCCCAAGGGCATACCTCAGCCTTATCTACGCTCTTCTGACTGGACTGCTGACAAACTTCAGCTGCCTTAGGCTTGTGGTGAGATTTCTCCTTTAAGGAAAAGGCTGGGTTTTTCTCCATTTCAGAAGCCACAATTGATACATGTTTTTGAACTTTTGATTCTGAAGGCACAGGACCAGGGTTCAGGTCGTAAATCTCCCAAGGACACACTTCCCCAATATCAAAGTTGCCCTTCCTCTGGGTGGTGCCTGGACTCAGGTCAGAATTGGCAGGAGGGGGGTTGACCCTTTGTTGTTTCATAATCCCAGATTTCTGAGGCTTTCTTGGCTCCTCCAAGTGATTGGAGTTTTGGGGGGCAGAGTCTTTAGTCTCTGTGTTATCTGAATTTGGGTAATTTCTGTTTGTCTCTTTATCTTTTGGCAGAGATTTCTGGGGTTTAGCACGCTCTTCCACGCCTGCTGTCTGGGTTTTCCCAGCTAATCCAAGAGTCTTCTCCTTGGCACTGGCTATGACACTGAGAGACTTCTGTAACATCGACGTTCGTGGGTGCCCAGGCTTCTTCTCTGAGCTGAGGTTGTGGGCACTGGCTGACTTACACACCAGTGGCACCGACTCGGTGGACTCGGTCTCACTGTCTTCTTTCAGCTTTTGTGTGAGCTTTTTACCTGACAGAGATTCCAGTGTGGAATTCTCCGTGGCCTCCTCTTCTTGGCTTTCCGTAGGGAGGCTATTAGACTCTTCTGTTTGGTCCCTCACATGGTCGTAAGTGCTGTGGGATTTCTTGAGGGAGAAGACTCGGTTTTTCAGGGACTCCTCCTTGGGTCTCCCAGTGTTACCTGAAGACTCTGGTGGGTTCTTCCTGACTAGAGCAGCACTTTTGGCCAGGCCGTGGTCTGCAACATCCTTGTCCTCTTTGGAACACTGCCTGCTGACAGTCTCTGGGATCTCGGTAATACGCCTCATGATGGAACGGCCTAAGCCCTTCTTTGAGCACCGCTTTTTCTGGAGGTGGGGATTATTTGTGATCATCTTCTTCCTTTTATATACTTCCAGCTGGGCATAGAGTTTCTTCAGTTCATCCTGCCAGAACAAGAGTAAATTCAAAGAGGTACACAATTTAGCTCTTCAGCCAGACAGTATCCCCAAATGGTCCCGGAATTCAACAAGTTTGAGCTCCTTAGGGTAATCGCTCTACAGCTTTCCTTAACATCTATATTTACGAATTTTCTTCCCATTTGTACTTTCTGATTATTTTGTGTTTTCTTTCACATAATGTTTGAACTGCGAGGTATGAACTCACGCATTCTACCCCTGCTTCATGGAGCAAGCACTTTGAACTTTTCAAGTTTTGTGGATCAGGCTGAACCTCGACCATAACAAAACAGCACACTGTATACTGATGAACCCTATCCCTGAACGGCACTGGAGGCATCATGGAGACGTGATAAAGTTCTGCCTCATGTTAGATCAGTCCATCAGCTAAACAAAGCATCTTCTTCCTCCACATGCTGACAGATTGTCACAGATTATTTTAAACAATCTAGGCTCTCTGTTCACAGATCTGTCCTACCTTTCTGTAAGTGAGATGTCATAAACACATGTTAGGGAACAGGTACAATAGTGCACCATTCTGACTTTTAACAAGTCAGTCCAGACTATCACAATTGGCCAGGTTGCTCCTAGACAGTTGAAATAGCCTGTGAGTGCTAATTTGTGATGTGATTACACATGGTAGAAGTGGATGAACTCTGTACTTGATGCCTTCAGTCCATACATACACCTACCTGTTCTCTTTGACACATGTATACACAAACATGAGTACATGTATGTATACAAACATGCAAACACAGACACCAACCCCCACATGCTTGCCTGTATAAATGGGCTTAATCCAAAATAGGAAAAAAGACAGTACTAGAATTACCCGGATGTCTTCTGGATCCAAACTGTGCTCACTCCAGGCTGAATTGATACTGCTATTCAGGTAGGATCCAGATCGACCCATGTCTAGCTCATCTTCATATGCTTCTGTAGCAATATCATCTCGGGGGTTATTGCTCGAATGTGAAAACTGCAATAAATATTAAATATGGGTTATAGACTTTAGCCCACTGTAAGACATAGCACAATTTTTTATATATTATATACACACACACTAATGCACAACCACACATACACTAGGGTCTCTTTATGTTGGCCAGGGTGGAGTGGCTATGCACAAGTGTGGTCATAGCTCAATGCAGCCTTAAACTACTGGGCTGAAATGATCCTCCTGCCTCAGCCTCCCAAGTAGCTGGGACTATGGGCATGTGCCATAACAATCAGGACACCTTAGTAATATTCTTTTTTTCTTTTTTCTTTCTTTCTTTCTTTCTTTCTTTCTTTTTTTTTTTTTTTTGAGTCAGAGTCTCACTTTGTCATCCTTGGTAGAATGCCGTAACCTCAAACTCTTGGGCTTAAGCATTTGCCTTGCCTCAGCCTCCCAAGTAGCTGGGATTACGAGCGCCTGCCACAATGCCCAGTTATTTTTTAGATACAGGGTCTCACCCTTGCTTAGGCTGGTCTCAAACTCCTGTGCTCGGGCAATCTATCTGCCTCAGCCTCCCAGAGTGCTGAGATTACAGGCAAGAGCCACAGCACCCAGCCAGCTCAGTAATATTCCGAAGGTTCCAACACTAGCATCATTTTTTCAGCTTTATGAATTCATTCACTAAACTCTTTCCAAGTATTTGCTGATACATTTGTGTTTTGCTTTCCATGTTCCACATTGGAGCTCTCTGGCAATATTAGCACTTGGCTCCCTGTGACTCCAATTTTCACCCTGTCCCTTCTCTAGACTCCCAGTGTTTACTTACATTGCTCCTCTTCTGTGCAAGTGGAAATCAGTAGAACAATCTAGAAAAATATTCTCTTAGAGGAGCAACTTAGACTCACTGCAGCTAAATGGGAATTTTTTTGGAGCAGCAGGGCCTATTTTCTGTTTGTTACTGTACTGCACATAGGTGAAGATGTATTTCATCTATGGCCACAACTGGCTCTGTTGACAGGAATGTGACTTTTAGTCTACTATATATAGCTTCAAAAAAGCTACTTTGAAAATTTAGTAGACAAAAAATCTGAATTGTAGCCTCAACTCTGGTATTAGTGAGGGCTTAAGACATGAAACTTCTCACCAGCATAGTGCCCTCTTAGCCTAAAGAGCTATGGGCTAGATGCTATCTAAGTTGACATTAAAAGATTCAGTGAAATTACAGATTTTTCCTCAAGCTTCTAGTTATTCTCATTTTGAGATATGCTGATTATTTTCATGCAGCTTTTTGATATTTTCCAGTTTTAAGAACTCCTGCTCTCATCTTTTTCAAATGGCAAAGTCAGGGAGAAGGAAATGGTTAAGTGACGAAAAGCAGGAAGGAAAATCAAAGCAACCAAGTCACACTGGGTGGTAAACCAAGTGACTGTCTTATGAAAATTGAGATATTAGCTTAGAGAACACAAATTCTCTTCTCCTAGGTTCTTATCAGCCAAATAGTCCCTAAAAATATTACAAGATCATTTTTCGATGATACAGAGATATCTTACTGTCACCTTTTGTTAAAATATTCAGCAGGCCAGGTGGGCATTACTATGAGACAATGTGAAATGGCAATTCTCTAAGTAATAATGTTTTGTAGTTGTGAGGACTGAAAAAAAAAAACCCCACAGAAACTGTGACTCTTTCCTTGACTCTTCTACCTACACTTGTGGGACCCATGGTGACATAAACTTAAGGGCATAAAGGCCAAATGCATGTATGAGAGAATCCCTGTCCTCCAGTATCTCATATGCTACGAGTTAAACCACCTGGAGGTTACTTACAAGAATGAGATTGGTTTTCTTGAGCAAAGTCTCGGAGACAATCATGAGTTTAAGAAACAGTTATTTGTCAGATATTGTCTATTCCTTGCTTTATTATTTTTCCTTAGCACTTATCTCTATCTAAAACACTATTTCAAACGTCCATCTTGTCTGTTACCCCCTTCCTCTTCCAGAATAGAAATACCATAACATCACACATTGTTATCTAATTTTTAATCTTATTCTGAGGATATGTAACAGTTCCTAGCAAAACCCCTCAGTGATGTTTTTAAATTATCTTTTTATTGAGATAGAATTCCCATACATACTATGAAATTTACACTATTGAAACATAGTTTCGGTGTTGGTGTATTCACAAGGCTGTACAAACATCACTGCTATTTAATTCTAGAATATTTTTATCGCCCCCAAAAGAAACTCTGAAGCCATTAAGCAGTTTCTTCTTTCCTCCTTTTCCCTGCCTGTCGCAGCCATTAAGCTAATCTCTGTCTCTACAGATTTGACTATTCGGGACATTTCACCTAAGTAGAATAATACAATGTACAGCTTTTCATGTCTTTTTCAGTTGGCATAAAGTTTTCAAGGTTTGTCAAAGTCACAACATGTACTAATATTTCATTCCTTTTAATTGACAAATAATATCCCTTTGTGTGGATACACCACATTTTGTTTATATGTTTATCAGCTGATGGACATCTGAGTTATGTCTACTTTTTAAGTATTATGAATAAGGCTGCTGTGAACATTCATGGACTGGTTTTTATATGAACTAATGTTTTCAATTCTCTTCATAGCTCAGCAACAATTTACTGAATGAATAATCTGAGAGCATCTCCATCTAGTAAATGCATAATCATATTATGCAAAGTATTAAAATAGGATAAATTGCAGTAATAGACTAATACATGAAAACTACAGTTAGCTGATATAATTCAGGTAGGGAATAAAATATGTACTTTGTTCTGTTTACAATCATTTGATCTTTTCGATCAGGCTGAATTTCAATGTTTTGGTTATCATGGGAAGTGAGGGAAAGCAAAGACTAAAAGATAATAAATCACAATACTGGTTTCAGTTGTGCTAACGTTGTATTGGGTGGTACTTATAAGATATGTAGTGTTCTAATATTGTGTCCCTTTATGTATAAAAGAGGAAAATAACCATAATGCAACAATTTATACAATATGTTTTCCCCCCAAACCCTTGTATCATTTCAGTTTATTCCATGCACCCTTACTATCACGTCACAGATGAGGAAATTAAAATGTGGAGACATCACAAGTCTTGGCCAGCACCATATTACATTACACAGCTAGTCTGTGGTGGAGCACGAGTCCAGAATTTTTTGTGAGTCCTGGCCCATTTTTGCTCACTTCATTATGATTGGATAAGTCTTTGTCAGAATCTATCATTATTAAGATTCTTCTATACATAATTATTTATTTCTGTTCATATAAGCTATGTTAATGTTTTAAACACAAGACTTCTTTGAATATGAATTCAAACAAAACAACTCTTCGAATAGGATAGTTCTTTTAGAAAATGATCTCTATGTGACAGCCACAATGAAAGCCACCTTCAACCCATGATATTAAAACATAACTAGACATCAAAATGTTTAGAAAAGTAAAGATGATGGGTTTTAAAATTAAGACATTTAAAAATTATTTAAGTTATTTAAAAGCAGACACCCAGTTTCCTGAGGAGGAAGCTTTTAAAATCTTTGAGAGTGTTATGCAAATTTCCATACCTCCCTTTGTCTGAAGGAGAAACAACTCCACACTCATTTAAAATAATGATCTTGAAGGAAAAAAAAAAATTAGAAGGATACCTTTGGAATCAACAGCAACCCGATAGTGACTGTCACAGTCAAATGAGTATGTGCAAAATACAGCATCAACATCCAATCAGACTGAAGTCTTGAGGCAAGAACAAATCTGAAATGAGAATTCAGAGTTAGCGATCCAAGGTCAAGGTCTCTGCTGAAAACACTGGGATAATGGGAAACTGTTTTCCTCACTGGATTAAAAAAAAGAAAGACAAAAAGGAATTGCATTGTTGTTTCTATGGCATATATTCTCACTGCAGAAGAATAAGGGTCGAATTAACCTTAATTGGATGTATAAAATATGAACTCTTTGTGATTATACATATATTTAGATTAACAATAGTAAGAAAGACAGCATAATAATTCCTAAGATTATCATTTCGTGTGTAAATTAGCCACAAAGCAAAACAGTGAATACATATGAATTCAAAAATATGGTAGGTTACAAACTGGAGGTTTCACATTGGGTTATAAGATACATCCAAATAACACGATTCTAGTATGCTTTATTTAAAAGCATTAATTAGAATTAAGAACAAAGTAGGTAATTATCTATCTTTGTGAATGATCCCAAAGGTTTAAATAGTAAAAGATTTAATGAATAAAGTGAATATACCAATGGTTTGCAAAGCACATTTTTAAAATACATTTTTCTAAATTATCAAATATTCTTAAATAATTTAACATTTAGTATTTAAAGTCTTATCTTACTGAAATTTGTAAAGCAGTATTCTAGGATGGCTCTGGTGAGGAGAAATTCAGTACTAAGGACTGAAATACTGTAATTTTAGAATATTTTTGTAAGTCAATAGGTGCACGTACAAACCAAAGCTCACATTTTAAAGATTTATCTGTATGCAGAAACAAGAGATTGCTTTCATTAAGGTCTCATCCATTGTTTATCTATAAAAGCTAAATATGATATTTCACCTCTTCTTTTCTTTTGGGATAGAGTCTTATTCTGTGCCCTGGATAGACTGCCATGGTATCAACAGCTCACAGCAACCCCAAACTCCTAGGCTCACATGATCCTCTTGCCTCAGCCTTCCTAATAGCTGAGATGACAGGAGCCTGCCAAAATGCCTGGCTAGTTTTTCTATTTTTAGTAGAGACAGTGTCTTACTCTTGCTAAGGCTGGCCTCCAACTTCTGATCTTACTGGCTCAACTTCCCCAAGGGCTAGGATTATAGGCATGAGTCACCACGCTGGGCCAGATATCTTACTACTTTTGGAATTAGAGGCTTAGAATTTTGTTCTGATGATATAGATTGTCAAATTATAAATGTTAACATTCTGAGAAATGCTCATGCTATCATAATCACAAAACAAACATTTATAAATGGCTAAATTTTTATATCTGCATTATGCCACATTCATGACAAATTTATTAAGTAAACTGATACTATTAACATTTTAAAAAATTATCATCAGAGAGATTTCAACTCTACCCCACTTTCCCAAAGACATCAAGCTAAAAGGAAGCACAAAATAGTTATTTTCTCATGTCTGGAGATGTAAAGAATGCACATGGGTCACACGCCATGAAGCAGGGTTTGCTGAGGGTTTGCTGGATTATCATCTTCTCCAACTCCTTGGTGAGAAAAGTGGCCTTACAACATGTCTTGAATATGACTGAATCATCACTTTGTTTAGGAATGAGACAACTTTTGATATAATCTGTTTTCCTGGGTCAGGTGAGATTCCTTTTTAAGCATTTTAATAGGATCATCATACTCAATAGCAAGTTACAGTCTCTGAGGCATGTATAATGTGCCCTGGAAAAATGATACAATCCAATTCTCCTGGGCATCATTGCCAGTCCTGGGGCAGAAAGTCGCATTAAAGGAGGTGGATTTTACAGTCTAAAAGGATCCTTGTGTACTTACTGGGAATTCTTATCTCCAATGCATGCCAGTAAACTTTAAGCTAGCATGGTAATATCTAGAAGGAGAATGGTTATATATATTTTAAATTAAAATAGTGACTCTTCCAAAAAAAAAAAAAACCCTTTGAAATATACTGACATTGATCACCCTCAAATTAATCGTCTTAAAATTAGTGCCAGGTATTTTAGGCTGCAGTGTGGACTAGAAATACGTTGAGAAAAATCGGGCATTGCAGGAATTTTACAGCTTTATTTTTAAGGAGTATTCCATCTTTTTAAAAATAGGTCTAAAAGCCAGGAGCATAAAATATTTGAAAATGGAAGTTAAAAATAAAGCACACTTTCAAAAGTCTTGCACATTCCCAGAGGTTTGCTTTATGCTTATCCTCAGCACTAAAAATAAAGGATTAGAACAGACTAGGAAAAATGACTTCTGTATTGTTTACCTTCCTAGAATCTATTATTTTTGTACAATCTGATAATTTGTGATGAATGAAGGTAAGTCTGTAATGTGTAGTCATGATTTTCAGTTTATGTATATATATATGCACACATAATTTTATATTTTTAGCAGACATGAAATAATATATATGCTGTATTGATAGAGAATATCTTCTCTGATGTTAGAACCCTTATTTATTATCATTGCATTTAAGGAAAAAGTTATTAAGATGGATCCAGCAGATTTAAATTACTATGTTACTGCATCTTATAAATATTTCTTCTTATAAATATTTGAACTATAGCATATATGAATTCAGTCTATATGAATAAGACATTGTACATGCCTGATTCCTTTCTTATTGCCTATTGCTTGTTCCTTATCCATTCCTCTAAAATTGGTGTTCTGTAGGTTTACTGTATTAAACTATACATAGTAATTCTATTCCTTGGTCCTTTATGACCAAATCAAAATTCCAAGAGAAAATAGCTAATATGTTCATTCTTTGATTCTTTACAGCCCAATGTACCACAATCTGATCCAATCTGGTTTAGGTAGAAAGATATACTAGGTCAAATTTGAAACTTAAAATGTAGGACTTCTTGTTCAGGTTTAGCTAGGCTTATCTATGAAAACATCAAAGCCTACCAAAGTCTTTCTGGGTCCCCCTGCTACCATTTGAAGTTCTCCCTGTTCAAAACTGAAAGGAGTCCACACAGTTGTTTGGAAGAAAACTTATCTTGTCAGTATCTATATCAACTCAATATCAAATCTACTAGGTCAACGTGAACCAGCCAATCAGACTGCATGTCTATATGAACGATAAATATTAAATCTTTGAACACAATTATTTTGGCAATTAATTTGCTTCTAAGAAATTTAGCAACTTATTGCAGAACAAATGTGGGCAACCCTTTGTTCTACATAATCACATTCTGACCACAGAAGGCATTTAAACAAAGAAGACTTCTCTCAGACTTGCAATTCTAGTCGGTTTATTAATACAATATTCAACTTGTAACTAACTGGTCATTGGAAAGCACATTTGTTAAATCTTGAAACACAGGTGCTTGACATTCTGAAAGATCTTGGAATATAGTCTGGAAAAAATGTCAAAGCTGTTGGAGCTCCAGTACTGGGACCAAGTGTTCTTGCTCCTCATGACATTTGCGGGCCAAGGGCACCCTCTCTCAGGGGCTTGGACTCTAGTCTGAGTAGCTGGAAAAATAGTCTTTTTGTTTATTCATAATCTCATATTTCTGTTCTTATCTTTCCTCTGCCTTCTAATTTTTTCTCTCTCTCTTGAGGGAGGACAAGACAAAGCTAGAGGTCAAGTCCTCGACTCCTGGCATCTTGATGGGGTTTCCAGGATTGTCAGACCATCTATACCTTCTTTTCTTACTTAACAGTTTAAAAGTGAAGGCTGAGCCTCAGGTCCCAGTGTTCTCTACATCATCTCTTCCTGACAGCACAAGAGAGCATCTTCTGACTGCTGACTCCAGTGAGTGATGATGTGTGTCCTGTGAAATTCCCACAGGTCCACAGTCTACTGTACCCACTGATCTCCAGGGAAGTCTGAAGGTCAACAAAGGAATGAAGCCAAAGAAGAGGGCAAAGACATGTTCAAAACTTCTAATTACACATTTGTAAGTGTGTCCTAACTTTCAACATCTGTCAAACAGTTGAATTACATATCTTTGCTGCTTTTCAAATGATAGGATGCTTTTTCTTAGTTCTGCCCTGAGATTTTCACTTCATTTTCAAATGAAGTGAGGAAAAATTTCTCAAAAGTCATACATGTTTCATTTTGCTCACTTCATCATAAGCCACTTTCTTCCTTCTTTGTACTCCTCTGCTTAGGGATACATGAGATAATCACAAAACAGAGGGCAGGCGACACATTCCAATCCCTTCACTGCTAAGGCTGTGATGATAACAAAACCCTACTACAAACGATAATCTAGTCATCAGCTTGAAGTAGGTTTTTGGTTTGAATTCAGTAGGATTCACACATGTAAGTGGTCTATTTGAATATTAAGATTTTGAAAATGTAAGCCACCATATTAAACATTAATGAAAACATAACACATATACCTTTATAATAAGTGTTACATTAATGAACAACATCCAATTACATTTCCATGAGTGGTTTAGGATAATACAATAACATTGAGTCAACCTTCAAAATAAATGCAGGCAATAAACACATCAGAAGAAACTAAGAACAACAGAATTTTAAAAAACAAAACAAAAAAAAACCTATTCACTTGTCATTTTTGTAATTAAGAAATTAGTCAACTTAAAAAAACACTATCTTTCCTAAGTGCTTTCATTACGCATGTATCCAATTTTGCTCTTTCAATTAAACTGCAACACATCAGAAAACTAAAATAGTTATTTACTAGCTCTAGAGATCACTTGCCTAATTGTATGGAATACAGCAGAGATAATGAGCTCATTGTGGACTGCGACAGCCATGTAGCGCGGCTCATGAAATGCTGATGGGACTGTCCGCACTGCATAGCAGAGATAAACACCCCACAGGAGGAATAAAAATTCAGCTGTGAGAAGACAAAACAAACATTTATCATTAATTTTATAGGCAAAGAAAAAATAAGATTTTAGTTTTGTAGCACACATTTTGAGTCTATTATAGAAACATAAGTTTAGTTAGAAATAGATGCATACAAAGCGTCATGTACCTATAAATACAAATGCTATATATTTACTTTTAAACTTTATTCAGTGTATTTATTTTTCAAAAATATACCTTGTTGTTATTTTTTTAACAGCATTTGGAATCTCAGAAATTTTTGCTAATGCCAGGCTTTTTCTAAAAACAATTATAAAATAATTTTCCACATTCCTAACCTAAGGTTAGGATATTCCTGGATCATCTGGGTCACGATAAGTTTATTGAGGCAACAAAAGACTTGTAATACGTTTTTATGCAGCTTGTAAAAATGTAAGTTCTTATGGCACGGAGCCCAGTTCAATAAATAAAGATATCAATATCCATTGCCAGTGATTTCAGAACACAGGTTGCTGAACATTCAGTGGCATATTTTATAAATGAAACATTATTTCTTCACACATGGCAGAAATCATATATATATATATTTTTTTTGGTAGGTGGATTCCTGAAAGGTTTAGTAAAATTCACAGTCATCTTGGAAGCTGGCACAGGCACTGTGTGACAACTAAGATAAAGGACTTCAGGATCACACTATTAGACATAGTTCTGAACCTGGCTCAATTCCTAACTAACTTTACATAATCTAAGGCAATTTACTTAGCTTCTCTGGCCACAGTATTTTCCATCTGAAAAATGAGAATAAAAAAAGTACATATTTTATGTGATTATTGCTAATTAAATCAAATAATGATAAAAAACACTTAAGATAGTTTCTGACACATAGTAATGTTAAAAAAATGATTCCTATTTCTAAGTTTCTCATTTGATTCTTTTTCCAAACTGACCATTGCTATTTTAACCAGTATCTGTCTTTGGGATGTGGCCTTATTAAAAGATAATATCTAATTATCAGAGAAAAGCAAATTAAAACCACAACAAAATATCTTATACCAACCAGAACGGCCATTATTAAAAAGACAAGAAATAACAGATGTTGGCGAAGATGCAGAGAAAAGGTAACTTTCCTACACTGTTAGTGGGAATGTAAACTAGTGTGACCTCTATGGAAAACAGTATGGAGATTTCTCAAAGAACTAAAAACAGAACTACCATATGATCCAGCAATCCTAACCCCTTGGCCTTGAACATTCCCCCCTCAATTCATAGGACTACAAAAGATCTAACACCTTTTCCTCTCAGGGCAAGCTGCTCTTTTTAAGCCTGTTCACTTCCCTCTCGGAGAGAGTGCTTTTGTTTCAATAAAGGTTTTCTTTGCTTGGCTTATGTGGTACATCCTGAAATTCTTTTCCATGACTTGGAAAAACCTCCACTCAGAGGCTGGTAACAGACTGGATAAAGAAATGTGGTACATACATACAATGAAATACTATTTGTCCATAAAAAAGAATAAAATCATGTCTTTTACAGCAACAAAAGATGGAATTGGAGGTAATTATTTTAAGTGAAACAACCCAGACACCATAAGACAAATGTCACCTGTTCTCACGTAGAAATGAAAGCTAAATAATGTGTACACAGGAACCAGAGGATGGAATGATGGACAATGGAGACTCAGAGTTGGGAGGAGAAGGGCGGAAGGATAGGAGGTTGCTTGGTGGGTACCATGTGTGCTGCTCCGGTGATGGATGCCGCAAAGGATATGACTTCCCCACAATGTAACACAGCAATGTAATGTAGTAAATTTGCACTTATACTGCATTAATATATAAAAAAACCCATGAAGATAAATCTAATTAATAAGAAAGCTCTAATATAGAGGAAACATTTCATTAAATGCATTACTTAGATGTAACCTTCTTGTAAACTGAAACACTGATGTCCATTCATCATCCATCCAAGGTGTTTTCCCTGCCAAAGTTTCAGCATATTTCTACCAGCATTTAATCACTAGGTAGTGCTTCAATTATTGAAAGTCCCTTAAATAAACAAATCTCTTTGAAGATACCCTAAAACCCTGAACTGCTAGAAGCCAAAGAAAAAAATAAACTTCACTCCAAATTCTCCATGAAATTGAGTGTAGGTCCAATTATCCAGTATGGTAGCTGCTGGCCATATGCTATGAATATCATAAAATGGAAATCAGGACATTCTGAGGACTTCACGTAAAATTTCCTTTCCTAACTCTTGTATTTCTCTCCATGGAACCACCGTTGCCTTCTTACTCGGGTTCAAAATCTCAGAGCCATCTTTCGCGTCCATATTTCTTTCTCGCAGTTATTTTTCACCTGAAGTCATTCCTCTCAATGCTTCCAATTATGACCCTTGCCTAACCCCCTATCAGTTCACTCCTTATTTGTTGAATTATTTTTGAAGGGCTCATCTAAACCTGGATTTACCCTGTATTAATCCATTCTCCATAACAGTAACTGGTTCTTTTTTCCTGAAGCTCCAGTTTGATCATAACCAGGATTCATCCAAATCTTTGCCACTAGATTTGGGTTAAGCTATTCACATTTCTGTTAGAAGATACCTACTTATGACCCTAGAAATAATACCTGAACAAAAAGGAAGACTGCAAGGGAACTTCTGCTAGGTAAGATATGTCCCTACTTTCAAGTACAAAGGCTTTGTCCTGACATTCCTCACCCTCCGTAATATGACTTTGTAATATAAATCTAACATGATCTCCCAGTCCCACCCTACACAAACTCTTTGAGCTGCCCCAGAAGGTCCCACTGTCTTCTGAACATTCCAAGGATTAGTCTTGGTTCTGAGACTTTGCTTGTGCTATTGCTCCTACCAGAAATCTTTTTTTTTTTTTTTTTTTTTTTGCAATTTTTTTTTTTGGCTGGGGCTGGGATTGAACCCGCCACCTCTGGCATATGGGGCCAATGCCCTACTCCTTTGAGCCAGAGGCACACCCCCTACCAGAAATCTTGATCAATTTTTCAATGTCCAATTCAGGTCCCACCTCTAACACAAAATCCCCAGAAATGATCATAATCTACACTGAATTTTCTTTCCTCCAACATCATAGAGTTTGTAACTTTCCATACAACACAATGCAGAGAATTGTTGCCATATAATATACAACTGAAACAAAACTGTTCATGAAGTCTTGTTAGTTACCACCCCTCCACTTCCCCAAGTAGTTATAAACTCCTACAGGGCAAGAATTGGAGCTTTTCAATTATTTTTTTCTTCCTTTGCCCACATAGGTATAGCAATAGTCCTGAGGCCATATAGTTATGATTTAATAAGAATCTATTAAATTATGTGACTCTAAATGATGTCAGTTTCATGTGTAAATCATTAGAGATGTAGATTTTCTGTTAACCTTTCCATTTCATTAGATATTGCCTGTCAAAGCAAAATAAGCTGGAGACCATCAGTCTGGGTTTGTTTCTGTACCTGGAACCCTTCAGCAAGCAAACAGAAACTTAAGATGAAGGCAGTTCTAGTAATGGATGAATTCTGAATGAAGCTTCAGCCAATCGAGACAGCTAATGAGCTGACTGGTTCTATAACTTGGGCTCTCCCACTGGATGATACCCAAGTAAGGCAAACACCTAGCCAATCAAGCAGTTGGCTTTTTTTTTTTTAACTTTGCTTCCATATTTAGCTTATAAAAAAAGCTCAGGGCTCAGGTTGCTACAACAAAACCCATAATCTCCTTTATTTTGGGGCTCCCTGTATGAATCATTCTTTGCCCAGATAAACTCTGTTAAATTTTATTTTGCTTCAAAGTTTTTCTTTAAACAGGCCTACAAGTGATCTAAAGATAATATTGGCTTGATTGCTAACAGTGGCGATTTGAATTTATTGATTCACCACCAAATGTATGGTACTTTGGCACAAAAGAACGACAAATGCAAATTTATTATTAAGCAACACTATCACAAAAATATGCTGTAGGATTCACATGGAGCTGCATCATAAAAACAGTATCTCCTATTACTTATTGCAGTGATTTTATGTCATGCTATATTGAATTTCATGCGATTTGAATTTATTGATTCACCACCAAATGTATGGTACTTTGGCACAAAAGAACGACAAATGCAAATTTATTATTAAGCAACACTATCACAAAAATATGCTGAAGGATTCACATGGAGCTGCATCATAAAAACAGTATCTCCTATTACTTATTGCAGTGATTTTATGTCATGCTATATTGAAGATTCAAAACAAAGGAAAGTAGTTATCAGGTTAATTAGTTTGCTACATTGGAGAATTACATTTAAAAACACAAGATAAAATAAGATTTCTCATAATAGCTAAGCAGAACATTAAAATTATTTCATTAGCAATATCAAACAATATGCTCGAGCTAGAAAACAATTTATTATTCAAAGTACCAATTAAACCAGATGTGATATATAGAAGTTAGGCTTGGGGAAAAAAATCAGTGTCATATAATTAACTTCAGACTAACACTGCAATTAGCAAAGAAAATATGCAGATGTTACCAAATTTTGCAGTGTGATTATGTGGGAATTGAAATATGTGTTGTGCTTCTGCTTTAGAAAATAATTTCTACCATTAAATGACTTTGATGGGAGGCATGGGTATAGTTAAAAAGGGAATGGGATTTATATTTGAAGATCCAACTAGGGCTATCAGAAAAAGGAAGTATTTTAATTTTGATCTATAAGGGATAACACTCAGTTTAAAAGTTAACTACCATAGCCTTTTAAAAATTAATATACCTTAATGAAAGTAATTTTAAGATTTTTTTTTTTCAAAAGGCTGGGCTGACTAAGAATTAAGAATCAGTTCTTTGACCCTGAAGATGCCCAGCTCTGTAAGTTCAGACCACCACCAAGAGCTGAGAGAAAAACACCTTCAGAGCACAAACAGTACTCAAGCTGCCCATGCTGCAAAGATGTTCCGTATTAATAACATTTTACCCAAGTCATCCCCATTACAAAATTATTTTTTATATGGCATAAACAAATGCAT